GCGAATCGCTCATTTCCGGAGGAGATTGAAAGGAGCAAATTTATACAATTATTTGTTTGGCATTTACGGTGCATCATCCTAATTTGCACCTTTTTAGCATTTTTTCCTAAAACTATATAATACTTTTTAACAATAAATAATTTTTCATTGCGTTTCGCCTAATGAAAAAAGGTGCAAAATTAATACAAGATTTGGAAGATCAGTCGTCGCGCTTTTGTAAATTTGCACTTTGTTAGCAATTTTTGGGAAGAAGTAATTAATACCTAATTGTTTAATTTTTACAAAAAAAAAAAACAATGTTCGTCACTGGAAGGTGCAAATTTATATAGCTAAATTTCACATTGTTTGCAATTATTGTTACGTCCGAAGCCTCATTGACTGGCCTAACAGTGCAGGGGTCGTATTTTCGAATTCATTCTGAACGTTTGACTGACAGCAATGTAAATTGAATGGGGAGCATTCGAAATCGTATCAAATTTCGTATGCGAGAATATTCGAAAATACTACCCCAGAAGAGTTTTTGCACTCAAGTTAGATCTGGGAGAGTCATCATTACGGGGGAAAGTCGATAATTTGTTGAAAAATTTGTGAAAAATTAATGATACCTTATAGGGATTTTTTGAAGTTTGAGAATAATAGAGTTGACCCTTAACCACAGTCTACAAGAGTTTTTGCACTCAAGTTGGGTCTGGGAGAGTCATTACGGGGGAAAGTCGATAATTTGTTGAAAAATTCGTGAAAAATCAATGATTCTTTGTAGGGATTTTTTGAAGTTTGAGAATGATAGAGTTGACCCTTAACCACAGTCCACAAGAGTTTTTGCACTCAAGTTGGTTCTGGGAGAGTCATTACGGGGGGAAATCGATAGTTTGTTGGATATTCGTGAAAAATTAATGATGCTTTGTAAAGATTTTTTGGAAGTTGAGGATAATAAAGTTGACACTTAAGCACATTCGAGAATAGTTTTTGCAGTCAAGTTAGGTCTGTGAAAGTCACTACGGGGGGAAGTCGATAATTTCTCCGAAAATTCGTGAAAAATTAATGATGCTTTGTATGGATTTTTTGAAATTTGGGGTTGATAGAGTTAAGCCTCAGGCACATTCAAGAATATTTTTTGCAGTCAAGTTACATCTGGGAGAGTCACTACGGGGGAAATGGATAATTTGTTTGAAAATTTGTGAAAAATTATAAATGCTTTGACTGCGAAAACTATCCTGAATTATGCCTAAGGGTCAACTCTATCATTCTCAAACTTCAAAGAATCCCTACAAAGTATCATTAATTTTTCACGAATTTTCCAACAAATTATCGACTTCCCCCCGTAAAATGGCTCTCCCAGACTTAACTCTATTGCAAAAACTTTTCTGGACTGTGGTTGAGGGTCAACTCTATCATCCTCAAACTTCAGAAAATCCCTACAAATCATCAATAATTTTTTACGAATTTTCTAACAAATTAACGACTTTCCCCCATAATGACTCTCCCAGATCTAACTGGAATGCAAAAAACAGACTTTTAGAATATGTCAACCAAGTAAACGAACAAAAATGATTTTGTGACAAGTAGCATTTAACATCCCTATTGTTTTAGAATGGTAGTAAAAAGTAGTAAAAAAAATTATATATAGGCCTCGGTAGAGAAAGTTATTATATAGGTACCTCACGCATTATAAACCTCGGCGTTTTGCGCCTCGGTTTATAAAAGCGCTCGGTATATAATGACCAACTTCTCTACCTAGGTATATAATATACTATTTTTCCAGGAACGAAAGTGTGTTTTAGTATTTGATGTTTGTCAAATTCTGATATATTGTTCCTATTATTAACATAATTTCCAATATCAATTTCGCCTGATCTAGGTCTAGAAAAATTCTGAATATTTTGCGAATCCGATCCTGACGAACCAAAATCAATTATTCCTGAATCCAACGATATATGACTACTGATATTAATTGAGGAAGAACTGGAAGAAGCGGTCTTTCCATCAAGTCCAGAATAAGACGCTTCGCTTTCTTCCGGTAGTTTGGTGCCGACTCTGTTTTTTTCTGTTCTGTGAGCGTATAAAAAAGTACTTTTTCTACAGCCGTGATATGCGTGCGGAAAATGAGTTTTCCCGCACGGTGCGGAAAAATTTTTACCGCACGGCTGTCAAAAAAAAAAGAAAAATTCTACATTTTTACGCCTGTAGGAAAAATATTGTACCTAACACTTGTTAGGTAAATAGCTATTTCCTACGACCTTGCGCAAAGTAGTACTTTTCCGCACGCATTTCCGTTCTCAAAGTTACACTTTTCCGCACTCAGTCCGAATAAGGCCTGTATTCGCACTGAGTGTCGAAAAGTATAAAAATAATTGTCAAGCAACAATAAGTGCACCGTGCACCTATCGACTTTTACATATGATGAAAAATGTTTCCTCTGTTTCTATGTGAGCCAACATCTATACAAACACTGAATATAATTAACTTTGACACATTGTCAGATTTGTGTTCTCCATTTACATGCAAGAATCTACAAACTTCTTTCGCATCAAATTTGAACGCTTTAAGTTGAACAGCTCTGACGAGGATTTCAATTTTCTGTCCTTTTTTTTTCTGTTATGTAATTTTTTGATGAATGAATAAGTTCGCTTCAGGTTAATTGAAAATAATTGAACAAATTATCGTTTTTTCTATTTTTAAATTTTAGTTGTTACCACCTGATATGATGCTCTTGTTGATTGGAGTAATTAGAGTAGAACGATTCAGATTTATGAAAACCAATCTGTTGTTGAAGCCAGCATCTGTGGCTATGTTCGTGCAATGTCATTTAGTAATGTCTTTTGTCAAAAGTCGATACAGCAGTGTGTCAAAAAAAAAGCGCCAAAGAAAATGTGTTGCTAAAATTAATTAGAAAGTAATTTTCCATTTTTATAATTAAAAACTTTATCTAGTAGTGCAAATTGTTGTTTAATTTATTCGGGAAGTTAACAGCTCTTAGGAAAAATTTTGTTCCTAACACGTGCGCAAAGTGCCTTTTAATTATTTTTGGTTTCCTGACAGGTATGTGTCACCATGACGGCATGACACCAGTGTGCGAACTAGCTATTTCGCGCACTAGGGTGCGAAATAGCTAGTTCGCGCACTGTGTCATGGGAACGTTAAAAAATCAATACCTGGAAAAAAAGTGTCACTTCGCAAACTGTCATGAGTGTGCGAACATCATCATTTTTTGAAAGTTGTAGAAAAAAGCACTTTTTGTGGCTCGTTTAAAATTATCAAAAATTTACAGCTATATGCAACATCCTCTTTCAACTTAAAAGCGCTTTCTAAAACTGGTCACTTTTAAAAATGTATATTCTAAGCCATACAAATTTTTGAAGGTACCAGTTTTAAAAAGCGCTTTAAAGTTAAAAATGGATGTTGCATACAGCTGTTAGTCCCGCCACAAAAAGTATCACTTTTACTTCTAATAAAACAATATACTATTATGTCCGATTGACCAATAAAGTGCGATTTATAAAACAGTTTTGCGTCAATAACGTAGCACTTTATTGTACTAGTAAAATAAAGTGCTTCTTTATTTTACTAGTAAAAGAAAGTGCTACTTTATTGCCTACCTGGACTACCTGACATAGTGAAACAGGTCTTGACAACCTGCCAAGGTGAAACAGGTCCTGACAACCTGCCAAAATGAAACAGGTATGTATACCTACGCGAATTCTAGTTTTTTCATTCAATTTTTTTAATTTTTAACATAAACCAGTCGGAATCGTACATAAAATCATGTATATATTGCTTACATAAACAGGCCTTATTGAGTCATTATTTAATAGCCTCGCTCGCAAGCTCGCTCGGCCATAAAATTATTCGTACAATAAAGCCTCACTTTATGTACTTGTTATATAAATAGCTATTATATTATCATTTTACCTGCCTATTGCGTTTTTCTGCGTAGGTGTAGGTAATGTGATTGTAAATATTGAATACAATAAGAAAGACAAACAGAATCAGTGCATTCGATAATCTCTTCAAAATATTCACTGCATAGAATATTCACTGGTGCGAACTAAACCAAAACGAAATACGATTATACGAATAAAGGTTTATCGAAGAAGAAGGAAGAAACGTCACGTTTTGGCAAATTTCGTTAAACCAGAAAGAAGAAAGATAACGTTAGCGAGACGGAAAAAGACAGCCATATATTTGGGGTGTTACGATACTTGACGATGGCAGTCAACCAGCCGACAAACGATTGACACAAACCAAGGATTAAAAGACAATAGGATTGCCTATTATCAAGCGCCGAAACTTTTGTGACATCACTACAGATGCTCGTCCCCCTTTTGTGTGGAAATGTTAGTTAGTGTTAGGTAGTTAATAAATGGTTTATGGTAAAAAATCTAAACTATTAATTACAAAATTATTCTTGTGGGGGGTAATTACCCCCCCCCCCCCCCTCCATCGACTCCCTTGTCTGGACTGTGCTGAAGGGTCAACTCTATCATCCTCAAATTTCAAAAAACCCCCACAAAGCATCATTAATTCTCCACGAATTTTCAAACAAATTATCGTTTTTCCCCTGTAGTGACTCTCTAGACCTAACTTAACTGGAGAAAATATCCTCGAATGTGCCAAGGGTTATTTCTAGCTTCTCCGAATCCCAGAAATACCCTACATAATATATTATTTGTACATATTTGATTGAATTTCGCGGTTTTTTAATTTTTCTTTTCATTAATTATCTGGTCGACTGTAATATACACGAATCTGAATATGAATATGAAGCTAACTTCAGCCACATATTTTTTTCCAACAAGCGGCTCGCTCGACACGAGACAGCAGTATCGTTTCGTATTCCGACATCAATAATATAACGAATTATCTGCATGAACTTCAAAATTTTTATGGGTCTTGTTCTTTTGTCGCCGTCGGTTTAACTATTAGCGCCAAAATAAAGTGTTATGTTGGCTGCTCGTCACTCGATGTCAATTAATTTATTAGTATTTCCTCGATTATTTCAGATACAACAATTCATGGCGTTAACGTAACCAGCATCCACTCAACCCAAGTATTGATGGACTTGAATATGACAACAGATGAAAGTTGTTATCCTTTGATCGCTGGAATTAATTGCACCGATCACTACGAAATGGCTTTTAAATACACAAAAGCTTTGAATAATCCTACAGATAATTTGGTTATGGGCAACTTATCTGAATTTACTAATTACACATGCACTATCACAGTTGAAGGAGAATTAAATAATTTATATAATGTCTCATTCAGGACTGCTGAAGGAGGTATGCGTATGAACGATACCAATGTCATTGCTGTTCTTCAATATTGAATTATTTTTAGTTCCTGGTACCCCAATAAATCTAAGAGTAATACTTTTAAATTCAACCATATTTAGGATAACATGGAGTGAACCTCAAAATGTAACAGCTATTATAGATGGGTACAACGTAACAATAAAAAGAGTGGAAGTCAATAGTGAAAATCACTTTATACGTAATTGTTCTTTAATGCCAGCACCCGTACACAATAATTATACAAACGATTTAATCTACGATTTTCTGGGTGAACCTGATTTTGTTTATATTGCAACTGTATCGGCATGGTCCTTAACTACTAAGAATGGAAGCTTTGCCGCAATTAATGTAACTACCAGAGCAGAAGGTACCTAAATAATAATTGAATTATTGTAATCTGTATTATTGACTCTTGGTATTTTGACTTTTTTTTCTCCAGCATCAGAGGTGCCTCATAAGGTTATTCAATCATTAATTGAACAAAATGGAATGAATAATATCAAGAGGAGTTTGAATATTTCATGGGAAATGCCTTGTAATACTAACGGTCCCGTGGAAAAATTTGTAATTGAATTAACGGGCAAATATAATGGAGACATATTTACAAATCCGATTTATTATGTAAATGTAAGTGCTAGCACTGAAAATGAAAATTACAACTTCATCATAGAACTGGAAGCAGCCTCTTCGTATACACTCAAACTTTATATGCCCTTCAAAGACAGCCTTCATGAAAACAAGTATATTGATGATTTTGTGACTGGGGACAATTGTAAGTACTCAATTATTTCTCTAATATGTGACAAACTCAAGAAGACAGTGTGTGATAGGGTCACGCGGTTAGGACGACTCAAAAAGCTCAGTGGTTTATTTTCAGATCCAAGTGCTCCAAAAGTAATTTTGTTTAGGACTTTTGCTCGTAATTTCACAGTGAATTGGGATGAGCCTGATAATAAACCTGGAAATATAACTGGATATAGAGTTCATGTTTACTATAAACAGATTAATTGGCAGCAAACCAATGCATGCCAACTTGAAACTGATTTAAATGTAACTCGATATTTATCAAGCGATGCGCATTCGTTTATAGTGGAAAATGTACTTCCTGCAACTACGTATGCAATAGAAATTTTTGCGGAAACTTCAATAGGTTTTGGGAACTCAACTGAAAAGTCGGTAACTTCTCTCAGCTCACGTAAGTTGTTTCACTTGTCAGTTCTTGTACAAAATATTCTTTTTTATAGAGCCAGAAATTCCGAATATGACGTATACCATCGAAAATCATAATTCTATGCAAAAGGATTCCTACGATGTGAATGGAAGAGTTACATATGAATCAGGTTGCTTGAATGGAAAATTTGAATCTTACACTGTATCTTACACAGGAAATCGATCCGGATATGTAGATCATACCGATTTTGAAGAAATACTAGACTTCAACGTTAGTAGCTATGTGTTTGCTTTGAAACCTGCACGTTTCTATTCTGTAAATGTAACAATTAAAAATTCTGAGGATTTTACTTCGAGAAAAAGTATTCAGTTTATGTCACCAGTTGGAGGTAAGAGTCATCAATTTCAAACTTTGTGAGTGATAGTCCAGCAGGCAAGTACTTTCTGCTGAAAAGTATTCCGAAATTAATGATATTTTGGTATCACATTTGTGGGTATAATCTGTCGAGTAAAATCTGAGTTTTCGACCTTGAAGACCCTATGCTAGCTTTTCAGTTTTTTGCTTATATTTTCTAAACCATGCGTTTTAGCGGAATACACCTAGTTATAAAGTAACATAATGATGTCACAACTGCCCGCTTTACGGGAGTGACATGGGGGGTTTGTAGCTTTGGGGGTTGATGGAGAGAAACTCGCTCAAGTTGTATAAAAATATAGATTTCTATTTTCCCAAATATGACCTTACATATACGCTAGTCCTTTAGGATGCATGACCCTTCGAACACTGGGGTCCTTATAGGGAGCCCCACGTCAACGCTGCTTGGGGGACTGTCGATTAGTTATCGTCACCCTTATGTCTTGTCCAGAGGAGCTTTCCCAACGAGAAGTCGTTGCACTGGTTCAAGTATCCCCAGTGCAAGTACCTCTCGTTGGGAAAGCCCCTCTGGGTATCTTCAGCCTTATCGTTGTCCAGCGCAATTATCTCTCGTTGGGAAAGCTCCTCTGAACAAGGCATAAGGGTGACGACAACTAATCGGCAGTCCCCCAAGCAGCGTTGAAGTGTGGCTCCATATAAGGACCCCAGTGTTCGAAGGGTCATGCATCCTATAGGACTAGCGTATATGTAAGGTCATATTTGGGAAAATAAAAATCTATACTTTTATACAACTTGAGCAAGTTTCTCTCCATCAACCCCCAAAGCTACAAACCCCCCATGTCACTCCCGTAAAGCGGGCAGATGTGACATATTTGGTGGATGCGCCGTCTCGAGAACAGACGCCGTAAGGCACCTTCGAAGCAAGCCAACGCCCAACCACGTCACAACGCGGTACGTCGACAAGACAAATTCACGACAGCGTGGCGACCTCCCGACACACAAATAGACTAGTATATTTACAAAACTAGTGCCAATAGAAGAATAAATTGTGACCGGTTTACCGTCGCCATCATGGCAAGAACAGATTCCAGACAAACCCAAATACAATTTGAGGCCAAAGAACGCAGCAGCAACGACACCAGTAGAATTATTTAGACCACCCCATAGAAGCACAGAATCAGAAAACGCGCTCTTTCTGCCGAGAAGATCACTGCAAAGATCACCACCAGAGTCGCCCAGTATCAGTTTAGAGCAGATTACCAGTGAGATAAAAAACCAAGCAAATAATCAGACAGGCTACGAAGAAAACAGTGTTTTTGGTAGCCCGCCAGACCTTACCCTTCAACCAAAACCCAGGCAACCATCAAAAGAGGAAGTAGAACAACCGGATATAATGGCGAACACCACAATAACTGACGCTATGACAGCGGATAAACAGGCAAAGTTGCCTCAGTTTCAGGGGCGCCGACTACGTGGGTGCTCGGGGGCTCGAGCACCCACGAGACGTTAACAGTGGGTGCCGAGCACCCACGAGCATAGAGATGAAAACTGGTAATCCTAATAATGGACATTAGTTTGGCGATACAGTGATACCACAGCATGTGATACAATGTAAAATTGTCAAATTGTCAATGCTTTCAATTTTTTCACGTAAAAAAGGCTTGTGTTGCCAACATAGTTAGAGTAAAAATCAAACGAGAAGAAGCCACGACACGTGTTATCGTTCGTCTCACTTTGAATAAAGAGACCCAGAGAAAAGAAAATCTGCCTTCTTTGTCAGCGATGAAGTCAATGGCTTCTTCTCGTTTGATTTTTACTCTACTAAATTTTTGACTTGGGGAATTGACGTTTTCAATTAAAAGAGATGGACGATAGTATGAAAACATACATTTTCCCGCCAACATTTGCTTGCTTGTCAATGTCATTGGGTACATTCAGGCGGTCCCAGCGGCTAAGCTCAGCCACTCAGCAGGAATTTTATTCTCGAAACAGGGGAGCAGCGTCCTCATTGGAACGAAGGTTCTGTCTTTGTCGTCCGGTATAACACTGACAATGACAGAGTAATCTTTCTTATGAGAACGCTGTTCCTTGGTTTCGAGAATAGGGTTCCTGCTGAGTGGCTGAGCTTAGCCGCTGGGACCGCCTGAATGTACCCATTGCTTTGAATTTGATGCAATAGATTTCATGGAAACTTATGGAAAGACACGTCCGCCGGTGAATAGGAATTATTTTTACGAAAAGGCACACTATATACAGTTACACACAATCACCATTGTTAGGGAAAACCTTGAAAAAATCGAGGAAATAATAGTTTCCAGTTTCCACTTGTCAACAAACCACTATCAATCAACCATTGTTTTCATACTCTTCTGACGTCTGACACAGAGAGAGGCTTCAAATTGAAAAGGTCAATTATCGAATTATCTTTAATAAAAAAACAGACCTTATTCAAGGGGCTACACTAAGGCTGTGTTCCGCATATGACCAGGGTTGTGGTTTCAGGTTTCGCGGTCTCAAAAGTAATCAAATTATTCTGGTTCCTGGTTACTTTTGAACCTCGATTCCCTGAAATCTGAGGTGTATTCTTTTTGACAATTATCACTTTCAGTTTGATCACTTGTAAGTGATCCTGATCCTGTCCTGATCACTTGCGATCACTTGTACTTAAAAGAACAATAACTGATCCGTGACAACATCAAAATAAAGAAAACACCCATTCTCATCAGTCACTCTATTTCCTGGTTGGTCGGTTACCGGCATAAGCTTTTTTGCATCTCCAGATTCCATATTTGTTCACATCAATTAAATAAACCCAAACTAACATTAATTTCACGGTAGTCGGTATGGATTTCCGAACTTTGATTGCGGTTTGTTTTGGTTTGTGTTTCCTTAAAGAGGGTGTGCGCCAAAAAAACAACTTCATCTCAAAAAAAAGAGAAAAAAAATCTAAGAATAACAGTGAAATCCGCACCCCTCTATGAAAAATAATACCGAAGATATGGCTCTATGAAGGTACCGCATATCACCCCATGACGTCACGAAAGCTCAAGCGACGCACGAGAAAGTGGAGTTAATTAAATTTACATATGCTTTTCCTGTGTTACCTGCAATAATCTAAACAAAAACCACTCACGCGTGCCTGGTACAATCAACCGTGCGTTCGTTATTTTGGTCCGAGCTCTCCGAGCTTGACTTTACCGTTCGTTTATTTGAAAAGTGTACTCGGTGCAGCCTCATTCGCGTTCGTTTATTAAAATTTCTGGCACTTTTATATAGCGTTCAACTGCTCTGTTCGCTCACTGGTCACGTGATTATGGCTCTGCTCAGCACGCTCTGCTCTTTGAGCAAAATACCGAACGCAAGGCAAATTAACAATGCGGAGCGCGGCTGGACGAAGTTCTCGTGACGTCACGAGAGCGTCGTCTACACTTTAAAGCGGTATATCTCAGCGATGGTTTATCGTAGAATAACGAGGATTGAATAGTTATTCTTAGATTTTTTTACACTAAAACTTTAATTTTTCGCGCACACCCCCTTTAAGCAACCTAGTAAAATTTGAAATAGGCAATCCAAACCACGTGACATTCAAGATGGCGTCGCGGTCACACATGGGCCAAAAAACACAAATAAATATCTAGTTTCTGCCTGATTTTAATAGTTCAGGTACCTAATCAACAAATATTTTAATGAATAATGAAAATCAAAGTTTTAGGCAAAATTCTAAGCAAAATAATTTAAAATACGCATAAAAACATATTCAAAACAAACTTGCTTGGCCGCCACGCTATATTAAATTTTCCTTTTTGACAGATGGATTGGATTGCCTAATAAACGTCGAAGTGATCAAAATGAACAAGGAATTTTTCCGATCACTTGTATCACTTACGTTCAGAACGAAGTTAGCCACATAAATTTTAAAAGAACTTTCACTTATATCATTTTGATCAATGATAATTTACTAGAAAGAATACGCCTCTGGTTAACAAAATGTCAAAATAGTTACCGGCCATCGGATGTCGGTTCTGTTACTTTTATCTGTAATTTCCCCAAGTAACCGGAATTTTCAGTAACCATCTGTCAACCGATTCGGTTACTTTAGCTCTGTTTCAACCAATGAACTAAACAAACACTCTGGAACGGGCGCACTGCTTTATGCTAGTGTGCCGAATTTTGATATATGCAAACCAACAATACAGAGGGATTGTTGTCTCGCTCGCACTCATTGCGATTAACGTGAAAGAAAGAAGAGCTTCTTCATCTTCCTAACCTCAATGATCCAAACACTTCAAACAGCTGTTCTCAATAGCCGCCATAGTGCAGAGAGAGATGCAAATCCCTCTTGTTTGTTGTCCTTCCTGGCACAAACCCTCCCATAGAAACAAGAAACAAGTATCCAGCACCCTTTCCAGTGTGTTTGTTTAGTTCATTGGTGTCAACAGACATGAGAACCGTTTTAGAACGGTTATTTCCAGTCGATCAATTCATTTGTCAATTAGGATAAACGTTCAATTTATTAAGAAATATTTGGGCAATTGGAAATTATTGGTTCTGGAACAGTTCTCATGTCTGTTGAAACAGAGTTAATGGTTAACGTTTGGTTATTTTCGGAGCATAGCCTAAATAAACGTTTTTGGGCGTGGCGTCTGGAATTTTTTTTCCTGGCGATGCATGAGCATCAGCACCCACGAGGTTTTCTAAAACCCGGCGCCCCTGCTCAGTTTATCAGCCCTCAAATCTTCCAGCCATGTAAAACCAGCGCTATCGAGTTCCTAAGAACATATGACAGATCAGCGATAGCAAATGGAAGGGACGAAAAGCTGAGAATTGTTTATTTTGAAACATATTTGGACGGAGCCGCAAACCTGTGGTTTCAGGAATATAAGTGCGACCACCAAAACAACAGCTGGAAAGACAGTGTCAAAGATTTTTCAGAGGAATTTCAGGATACAGATTACTAAAGGGCACTTAAGAAAAAAGTCGAAAACAGAAAACAAGGTCAAGATGAGTCAGTCA